TCAGAGGGTTTTTAAGGGAGTTTCATAGTTCTTTCAGTGATGGGAATGCTTGTGTATAGGCAGGATTTTTTAAAAGGGGAAGTTGGTCCGTGGAATGAGCTTTTCTGCTGGAACGACCAACAGGAGCCCTACAGAAGAGCAATCTCTGGGTTGCATGAGGTCTCAGCCTGCTAAAAGTACTCATGGAAAGAGGGTAGAAGCAGAGCCTGAAACACAGTAGGCTTTCCTGCCAGCCAAAGAAGGAAAAGCACAGCATTCTCCTTACCCAGCCTGTTTCTCCGTATGATTCTTGTCTTTTTTCAGAACAGGATGTTACATGAGATAATTGTGCAGCACACTTGTGTGGGATGGGGGTGTACAAACAGGTTTGGTGTGCAATTCAGGTTGGAAAGGCACCTCACTGGATTAACGTCGTTTACCTCAGCTCCTGCTGTAATTACTCTGGTTGCTAGTGAGTCGTCTTGGGAAGACGGAAGGAAATTTTCATTCTGCATTCAGTCACAGAGCTTAATTGCTCTACAAAATATTATGCATTGTACCAACACATAAAAGTAGTGGATTTATGCTCACATGCTTGCATATCAAAAAGAAAATTGCATTCCAAAGGAAGCAATCTCCCTAACGGAGAATAAGAGGCCTTAAAAGATCTTTGGCTTGAATAAAAATGCCTTCTTTTTGGAACCTAGCCCACATCACTAGGTATAAGGTCCACAAGGACTTTTTGAGACCATCCAACAACAAAACCACATCCTTTGTCCAAGCTGGAGGACCACTCAAGATTCAGAGTGCTACTCCTGCCTTGCTACAAAAAGAAATGAGTTTCCAGAAGATCGATTTGCTAAATCAAAATGCATTTTTTTTGCAGGGGGAGAAATAACCCAACATTTATTGATCACACACACACACCAAAAAAAAAGAAAAAAAAAAAAGAGAATTATCTTCAGTGATAGGATGTCAAAGGAAATTGCTTTTATCTTATCAGAACATATCAGATCTTATCAGTGATTGAAAGGCCACCAATTTTCTAATGTCATATCAATGTTCATACAGTATGAAGGAACTAGTGCTGGCAGGTAGTAACAGGAGGAAATACAGTAGCCTAATCCTCTGATATTACAGCGAGGCAATTATGTTGTCCTGTGTTTTCTAATAAAACACTTACTATATGAAACAGGGGTGGCGGGGAAGCCACATATCCCAGCATGGTTTTTTGCTCTCAACATAACTTTGTGATGTCATCTATGGGTTAACAAAATAGTTTCAGCATTTCAAGTGTGTACCTTATTATACTTTATCCTCCTCTTCAGCTTCAATGCTATTCACAGCCATTAGATTACTTAATCAGTGTATGCGCTTGGAATCAAGAAATATTCAGGAGAGCCACAAGATTTCCCCTCTCTTTTTGCTTAGAATTTTCTGTCTTACAGGATTGACATTAACTTGGACTATAACATAAGGTGAATTTTAATTTATCTGTATTTTTCAGAAGGCTTGATACACTGAAATTGTTTACAGTTCTTAATACTCCAAGAGTCCAGTATCATCTATTCAGTTCTTTCCTATTTAGCCAACCTCATTTGATAATCAGTTACTTTAAAAAATTTCACAGCAACAAATTTACACTTAAAATTTACATCAGTGAATCAGATTCTAGTGCACTGAAAAAAAACAGAACGCAGTTTTATTTTTCTCATAGTTACTTTTTTTATTTTTATTTTTCCATTTCCAGCAGTTAGTTGAGTCTCCTTTTCAATAAAGGCAATGAGTAATTCCATACCAACTTTTCATGATCTACCTTCCTAAATGGCATAGCACACACAGGACAAGAACTATTCAGTTCAATCCAAAATTACAGTTCTTTATACGAGGACAAAACATGTGGTCAAAACATGATTGACAAGAACTATTCAGTTCAATCCAAAATTACGGTTCTTTATACGAGGACAGGGAAATCCGTGGTCAAAACATGATTAAACAGTTCACGGTATTTTTGTAAAATTATCATAAACTTGAAGCACAATCCACAGTTTTTTTGTTTTAAAGGCATCTATAATCTTTTAAATCATCCTCATTATTGTAATGCTTAGGGATGGACGAAGCATGGCATCCTGAATCTGCCACATCACGCCAAAATCAACAAAAGGCTGCTTGCAATCTTGCCTTCTGCTGTGCCTGTGGACACTGATCACTTTTGTTGCCAGAGCAACTCCATGAACTCGCCCTCTGCAAGGTCACACAGATGTCAGTGCAAAAGGGAGAAAGGAAGTGCAGCATTCCTGAAAATGGGATCTGTGAGAAGTGGGACCACTGTAGCACCAATTTAGGTTTATGCTGCCTGTGAAACTGCAGCTTGCAGGTGTGGTTCCTCAGTCACTTTATGGCTAAATCCTGCAGCCAAATGAAGGGAGTACCTCACTTTCCTGCAGTCTCGCCCTTCCCCAGCGTCTAGGACTAATGAGGCGAGTGAGACAGGCAGACTGTGCTGCCTTGAAACTAAGCTGGGCTTTCAAGACACAACAGCTGTCATCGGGAGAGGTACCACCAGCCCTCATCTGCCCCCGTCTAGTTTCTGGCTGGTTCTACTTTCCATGCGCCAGTTCTGGCAGTTGCTTAACCCCAGAATGAGGCAATTTAGGAATCTGAACAAGCAAAAAAGCTAATTATGTCGAGGGGGGAGGAGGAGGGGAAGGGGGGAGAAATATGAAGAAAAAAAAAAAATCACCACCCTGAATTTTTTATGTGAAGTGAAATAAGCACCAGTTCTGGTGTAAGAGAGGTAGGGAATGTTTACATGGCAGCAGGGGAAGAAAAGGACGGCCTGCATCAACAGCAGCCTGCAGATCAGTGTAACACGAATCCTCCCAGGATCAGAGAAACAGCAGGCCTGCATCATCTGACAGGGGTGTTGCACCTCCATCTCCCGAGCCTCCTGCCTCTGCCTTTCGGACCTGCGAGCCAACGCCAACTCCTGCATTTAGTCCGTTCAATCAACGCGAAGTGGCCACTGACCACGGGAGGAAAACACCCGGTCCAAGCCGGACAGCTGGGGTGTGAGGAGGGGGAAAACGACCCTCCTTGCCTTTCCCGGCATGCGAAAACCACAGCCATGCTGTGAGAGGCCACTGGGAGGACAAAGGTG